TGGCACACCAGTGACGCTGGCCCCATTATGTTACGGTCCCTCCCTGGGTGGAAACAGACACGGGGGCAGGGGAACTGATTGGTGTTAATCAACTGGAAACCATTAGTACTTTCCAGACCCTCCCTTTTGCAATGCTGGAGCACACCTCTTACACAGACAAACAGCTGACTCTTTCTGGTGTCCTAATTTGCAAACAAAAAGCAAAACTGTGTGAGCCTCCCTCGGAAAAAAAAACAAAAAAAACCCCCTCTAGTATACATACTCTAAATGGGAAATAAAGACTTTTGAAGTGTGGATGAAGTTCAGCACAGGAAGTGTGCCGCATCCATGACTTATTAATTTGGCCCCTTGAAACGTGTTGAAAACATCAGGTTTTCCACTGGAATGCAAATCGGACGGAGGAGGCTTACGGTACAGTTCAACAGTTGTGAGGCTGATTGAGAAGGTGCTCCAGTGACATTCGGGGCTGTGGAGAAGCCTACAAAGATAAGCCTCAACAAATGAGCGCTGCCCGGATTCTGGCATAAGCATCGTGCCCGGTGCTGGCTGTAGAACACTCAGGTTCATCAGATGGTTCTGCGTGCCACAGCAGTGCCCATCTCGAATGAGCATTTCGTTTAGAAGCAACAAAACCACAAAGGAAGAGGGGTAAGGAGAAATGGAAAGTTTGCAATTTTATGTTAAAAAAAAGAAGGGAGATTGCAGTCTTTTATCAGAGACCAAATACACTGTTACAGCTGTTGGGGGAAGGGGGACAATGACTGAGGTGGAAGACATCCTAAATGATCCCATGAAATCTTAATTACTAGGTTCATATCGGAAAGGAAAATCTTATCTCCTTTTTTATCTTGTCTCGCAAGGTTCCTGTTCCCCCCAGCTCACAGCGTCTCATCAACAGATACCAGAGTAATCTCAATCCAGCATGTTACAACTGAGCAGCAATACTTAACAATTAACGTAAGACCTCTAACCCAGATCAAAGATAACAGGAGTGCTCCAAAATGCCAGTATGGGAGGAGTTTTGGTTCTCAGGAAGCAGCTGACACTAAAATATGCACCGCTCACTGAGCAATCCCACCTCAAAGTAGACTTTAAAAAAATCTCTTTGAAAATCCATACACATCACCCTTTCTGCAGTCTTCTGTCTTTAATTCCTCTCACAATCACCAAGGAATCAGGTGCTAAGTCTCGGTTATTGCTGTATTTTATTATTGGTAATGGCATTTTCCAAATACATGTCAAATGCCATGTGGGAAAAAAGGGGTGGGGGACCCTAATGCTTTGCATCTTCATCCCACTGGTACCTTATAAACCAGAAAATATTCTTAATTAAAATATATTCTCTCTAATTAACATATGGATAATAGTGTGAATTTGAATCAAATCAGAAAGTTAATTCCAAACAGGTGATATGTATTTCCTATAATGCTCAATCATTCTCATGTGCCATCATTTTGGTTTCCTGATAAAAATCTATGTTGTATATTTAACTCATAGTTCTCTTTTCTCTCCCCACCGACATGTGAACTTGCATTTATATAACACACACACACAAACCAATCCCAGCCTCGCTGTTCACCGCCTACACGGCTTGGGCAAGCATAGAACCTCTTTAAGCATGACCTGTAAAATGGGTTTAATACGCCCCCTGCAGATGTCTCGCCAAGATTAGAGACAGGTAAATAAAGTGCCTTGGCACACAGTAGGTATTCCATTAATGACTCTTGTCTTCGTCATTTAAGGAAGGAAAGGGACAAAATGGGTAATTACGTCGTCTTCCGGAAGCGCTCACACTGCCCCCTACAATAGTTTCTTCATCTATAAAACGAGGTCTGACCAGATGGTCTCTAAAGCCCCCTTCAACTTGAGCATGAAAGTCCCCAGACCCCCCTCCCCTTTCAGTTTAACTAGACACTGACAGACATGTTTCCAGCTATTCTAACTTGGGAGGACTTAATGGACCAAAATGGTGACTTCACCAAATTGATGAATTTACACTCAGGAGAAGTTTTCTCATTTGCAACAAGGTTACTTACTGAATGTGGGGGGGGGGAGAGGAGTAAGATTTCATATTAATTTATTGTCAGTTGCTTAAGGTCTTATTCTAGTATTACAAATCAGAATACTATTAAAGCTGCATTTACGGATTTTTTTTCCACCTGCAATTTCTCATTTCCAAGACATGATTTTTCAGAGTCTTCTGTTTAAAAATTCAAAGGCATCTAAAACCCCTAAATGCGTACGTGATCATTAAAGAGGTGAAACAAAGGAAAACCCTCATCTCCACCCCCAGCCGAAGCTGACTGCCCCAGTTTAAAAGAGAATTTTTGAAATCAGTTCTTATTCTATCCTCATTATGCTTTGTTGCAATCAATATTCTATAGTAACATAAAGACAACAAAACATCAGTACTTAAGATTATTTAAATCTATTTCTGTTTACAGTTTCGGTACTGAAGGCTTAACACGCCAAGACTTTGAAGCCTATGTCCCGACAATTCAGAGCCACTGCAGAGCCTTAAATGATCTGGGCTCTTTAAACACTGGATGGCTCGTGGGGCCATCAAGCGTAATAATTCATCTCAAAAGCTATTTGTTCATCTGCCTTGAGGACTCAAACATATTACATTTTGCAAACTTATGTAATATATTCTTGTGGGAGAATGCCATTGAAACTATGTCCTAGGATTTAGAAAATCAACACCAGAAAAGCCCCTATGCTTTATTCAAGTTCCTTTTAGGCATAGGCCAATATCTAGCCGACCGCAATTTCATCCAAATGGCAGTATACCATATGTGACAACCAGTCCCAAAAATAATAAATCGGCACAGCTATCCTCTCAACTGCGGGCATATGGCAAGAAGACACAGTGCTAGGTGGGTTTCAAGCATTTTCGGCTTGTCACACGCCCTCCCACACACCTCTGTTCTCCAAAGATAGTCTCCCATGTGAGTTAATTACAAACTATTTTGGAAAACATGCTACAGTATTCTCAGGGCTAAGACGACAGAGTACTTATCTTGGAAACAAATTATATACAAATCCTCTATTTTTCTTTTTTAAAAAAGAGTTCAATTAAGCAAGAGTTGGCAAGCACTAAAAACAATGGGAGTCTGATTCCAAAGGATATCATTTGGAAATAACCAGCATCTGGAAGAGAAGTGGGGGTAGAAGTTATATCAGGGTTTGCATTGGAGACTCCGCGGCTAAGATACAGAGGCTCTATTCAGAGCACACGGTTTGAAAAAGCCACATTCATCCACCAAATGAAAAAGACGAATTAAAATTTCATAATTCATAATTTAATTAACAACAGACAGTATCTTTCAGAAACCATTAACACATTAAATTCACAGAGCAATCATTAGATAGAGATCTTCTGGTCACCTAAGTAGCAGGTGACCTAAAACTCAATCATGATCAAGCCAATTCTTCCTCTTGACGCTCCTCCAGAGAGCAGAAACCACAAAACTCACAAGAGCAAATGCGCCAACAAATATTATATATCTATACACACATATATTTTAAGGGGGACAGGACAGGGCTCTTGTAAAACAAGTATCATGGGAACGTTACTAATCAAGATTAATTTCCCAGAGAAAATTGCCAAAAGGAAATTCAATATTTTAATTTACGTTATCTGACTGTCTTAGTTGGGACAATGAACCTGATCGTGTGTACAAGCAAGTTAACATTTTTCGTATCGACTGGAAGGACAATCCGCACTTAACAGATACTATCAGCTCCCTTCCCCCACTTTTTTTTTTCTTTAATCCTAGGAGCTCAAATAATTGGCCACTGTGGAGCTTCTCAAACATCTCTCATAACATTTAACATGCTAGAAAATGAATCTAGCACCGTAGGGGAAAGGGAGTTGCCAGATAAATGGATCATAAAGCTTTGAATGGCCTAAAAATTGCAAAGGGTACAGTAAGGGGTCAGAAAGAATATGGATGGGAAGTCGTATACTGGGTAGAATAGGAAACGTTTTATATATACTCTTACCAATGATAAAGGTCCTTTATTCACTAGATTAATTGCAGCCTAGATTCACTAGCCGAATTCTTGCCGGGTAAGAGACAATTTTGTACATTCCAAGTCTAAAATGGGCACAGACCTTTCAGACCCGCTTCTGGCAATCCTTTTAGATTTCTTTTTCATAACACGCCCGAAACACTAGCGGATGCTATTGACTCGCCAGCGCCTGGGCTGATAGGAGAAACTTTCCTATCGAGACTAACGAGCCGGAGAAAAATTAGATATAGTTTCCTTTCCTCAGAAATCCCAGCTCCGCACTTCTCCCAATAAACTCTCCACCCTAGTTTGGCGACATGTAAAACCACCAGAATCACATTAATTATTAAATTACAGACTGCACATCAGACGAACCACCATGATTACGTAAAAATTACCTCTAATTTCTGCAACAGAGTACACCGGGCTATTTTAATGCTTTATAATTATCCCATTTCCCCTCCCCCCTCCCCTTTTTTCTGTCTTCTTCTCTCCTTCCACTCTCCCACCGCCGGCAGAGAATCTTTGCAAATGTAAGTCAGAGGAGCGGGTAAGTGGGTGAGAAGGGATGTTGAAACGGGCCACGAAAGCTCCATCAGACCCGAATTTCAAACGGCACGAGCGTGCACGCGCGCACCCCGCCCCGGGACGCCGCGCCCCGCCGGCCGGACCCCGCGCCCCAGACCCCCGGACCCCGCGCCGGGCTCGCCGGTCCTCACCTCGTCTCCCGCTCGCCAGCCGCCGCCCGGACCCCACGCCCCGCCCGCGCTCCCCGCCCCGACCCGGATCCCCGCACCCCCCGGCGCCGCACGTCCGGACGCTCGCCCCGCTCGCCCCGCGTCCAGCGCCGGCTCGCAGCCCCGGGGGAGGCGGCCGAGCCGGAGCCGCCGCCCGCCGCCGCCCTCCTCGGGGGGGCCCCGGGAAGGAGAGCCCCTGCCGGGGGCGCGGGGAGGGCGGCCGCGCGGGCCCCCCGCGGCGGCACTCACATTCTGTCGGGAACTAGCAGGCGGCCCTCGACCATCATGTCCGGGAGGAAATCCAGCTTGAAGGCAGAAGTCATGTTCTCGGCGCGCGCTCTGCGCTCGGGCGGCGGGGGGCGGCTGTGCGCGCGTCCGAGCGGCCGCGGGCGGCGCGAGACGGGCAGGGACAGGTGCGCGCGGCCTCCCGGCGGCCGCCCGAGCCGGCACTTGTCACATTCTCTCCCCTCCCGCGCTCCGCCAATCCCCTCCGAAACCCAGCGCCCCGGCGACGGGCTGCGGAGCGCCAGGTGCGGCGAGCGGGGGCGGAGCTCCGCGCCCGCCGCGCCGCCGCTTAACCCCTGCGGGCCCGCCCGGCCCCCGGAGGGAGGGACCCGCCCGCGGCCCGCCGCCGCGGAAGCTGAGCTCACCAGCTTTTAAAAATAGCCCGACTTTCCTAGGGTCCCCAGGCTCGAGCCAGGCAAGCTAGCTCCCCGCGCCGCCTCGGTCCAGTTCCGCTCAACTCCCCATCTGCACGGCGCCTGGCAGGAGGCCCGAATAACTGCTGTAGTAGATTCGGTGCCGCTGTGTTGCCGAAGCCGAGTTCGCGTGCCGGGCCAAACCCAGGTCCAGGAGAACGGGCACCCTCACGGGTGCATGCAGAAACGCTCCTGGGGCGACCTGCTAGCCGCTGGATGAACTCCCAATAATAGCCCATCTAGCATTCGTGGGTTAGCCAAAGTAAATATCAGATAAACGGCCCAAGTGACATTTAGGGACTTATCTCGGTGCTTTAAGGACAAAGAGGATTCAATCTCCACACAATTACGTTTCCTTTGTATCATCTCAGAAAAATGCACAAGTTCAGATAAGGGACTGAAAAATGTGAATCACAGAAATCACGTTTTCTTTTTAAAAAGAAAACCCATGTGTCCTTTTCTAGTATTGAATGATGAAAAACCAACGGACTTTATTCAAAGACTGAGAGCTGTAATGTAATGGCCATGAAGCTTAAACATCCACTTAAGACGTGTGACTATTTACTAACAGGAAGGGGGGGGGGGGGGGGGATGGCGAAAATCTCAAAGGAATAAAGCAGGGAGTTTAATTTTCCCAAGCGATTTGCAAAAATTTTTGAAAGGTAAGTACACGCTGACAGTCTAATTTGCTGCTGTCATTGCTTTGTTTGGTTATTTAGATGAAACCAAACTTTTCACAAGGTCACGAGGACGTAAAACTTCTCATATTTCATGCGCTAAAGCAACATCATAAATTGCATACCAGAATTACAGTTTGCCTCTTATGGTAATCGCTTTCGTTTTGTACTGACATAGCACGCTTGGGAATACAGTCACGGTAGCCAGAGGGTTAAACAACTAAGTCACGTGTAGTTAAATACACCAGGTGTAAGTGTGATGTATCAGACACCATTATTCAGAGAAACGATCTTTTCTCACAACTTCTTGTGCGAGGAGAACCGACCATCTTTGGAGATTGTGAATGAAAACAAATATTTATATGCCAATTTAAAATCCACCTATCTATTTTAAATCCAGGCTTGATGGATGGACTGAGTAATACGAAGTAACAGGCCTGGAGTATTCAATTAAGCCCATACATACTTAATGCACTTGATTTCCTCCTTCAGCTGAAAAATATCTGGCTTTGACCAAAACACTTCTAATTCCAACACAGATGCAGGGCTAGGACTAACCTTCATTTTAAATTATTGCCTTTCTGAGGAACGAGGTCTAGGTTCATAAGGAATTGAAAAACAGAAATTGAAAAACAGATGCAGTGAAAGGAATTCTTAGACCCAAAATGCCCAAAGTTCTCCTGATCGTCCTAAGTGCAACTTACTCCCTCTCCTTGCTACTCTAGGCTGCCTTTGAAAGTATAAGAATTTTAACGGTCTTTCGATAATCTTAAGAAGTAATTAGCTGGATAAATGAGACCAACCTTGTCAGTTCTTGGTTTTCATACATTATTTATATAAATCCCAAATGTATATGATGAGCTGACTGTGTATCAAATTTATATTAAGAATGAGCAGAACTGGGCTCTAGAACAGAAGCAAAACACAACTGTATTCATCAAAAAGAAAAATATTTTCAAATCAGCTGTGGCATAAAGCTCCGTACATATCTACATTCTATAAGGTAGAAAACACTTCATTAACATGTACACTTCTGAAATATTTATTTTCTCTTTAATTGCATGTGAATTAGTTGGGAGAAGCTGAAGGGAAGCCCTCTTACGGACTTAAGCCTTCTCAGCAGTTTGTTAAATTCTAGTCTCAAATCCCTTGAGGCAATAGTGGATTCAAAGCAGCTTTTAATCATACTATAAGGAGGGTGAAGTAGTATGTAAGTAGGTCATAGAGAAAGAATTACAAGTGCATAGGTTATTGCCTTCTTTAACAACTGTAGTGTACCAGAGTTTTCAAAGCACATTTGCTTCTACCATTTAAAGTTAGAAGCAAAACCAGGGTCAAGTATAAAAAGAAAACTCACTCTTACACGGGATACTGTGATGATGTGAACCAAGGAATGCTTATGGAGTGTAGCTGAGTTTAAACAGTTTGGCTGCCAAATACATAAATAATACAGTGATTGCACAGGCACTTGATGTAGGTGCCAAAGAGAAACAAAATACACAGACGCACACACACACATGCACACACCCTCCATAGGGTGTTGTTTCCATGATCGTAGCACACACACAATAGCCCTTTTAAAAAATACACATTTCAAAAGCTCTTGAGTCTAGGAACGAAAACAAAACAAAAACACCCAACCAAATACCACCTGATGAAAAGTGTAAATTTCTCATCTCATTGCTTTGGCAGGAGGAAAAAACAAAATCTAAAAACAACTCAATGGGGCCCCTTTTTTAATTTTCATGCAGTAATGAGCCATCAGGTATCATGTTTTGGCAGTTGGTGTTATTTGGCAGACAGCTCCGCTGGGCCGCTGTTCACTCGGGTTCAGTGGAGCTATTTTATAGCCAAGGATCTTATCAACAGCAGTGAAAAAGGACGAGGCCATCACTGGGCCCCTCTCGTGGGCATGACCTGGTTGGTGACACCACTGTGTGCTGACATCACTGGGGACGGGTCTGCTGGAAACAATGAAGATTCCTCATAGTTTTAGCTTCATTGTAGAAAAACCTTAAGCTCTTTCCTAGGCCCATCCCCCTACCTTCCCTAATTGTCCTTTTTTTTTTTTTTTAATCAACTTGCTATTCATTTCCCAAACAAAAGGCAATTCAAGAATTGGAAGCACTTCAAGGGAAAGTTTCTGAATGACCTCATTTTATATGAGGCCTTCCAAGGCAATAGGGTGCTCTGTGCTGTTTCAGCAAGCTGCTTCCCGCACACCCCCCCATGCCTCATCTCAAACTGAGTTTTCTCCAAGGGTCATTGTTTGAGCACTGAATTATCACTGGCATTAAAAAAAATCTCAATAGAAACAGCGTGCTAATAAATGCATTTGTGCAGAGAGGACACACTGCTGGGAAGAATACTATCCCCGTCACCCCACTCAATCAACGAACCAGAAGACAGTCCCTTGATCACAGAGCTTTCAACATTTTTGCAAAAAGTTTATACCGTAAGTTAGAGACTGGTGCTTGGTACAGGGTGATTAGTGTTTATACGCAATTTTTCCCCCTACAGACAAACTTGTATATTTCCTGATAAATTTCCATTTTTTAATTGTTCCTATACACAATGTCTTACATTGCAATCTCTTTCAAAGCAAAATACTATCGACTATGTTATCATAGATGTACCATCTTCACAAAAGCCCCCCCCCCCACCACCACACACACACTCACACACTTCTGGCTCATCATTACAAACTGGAATCCAAAACATCTTTCCCCTATCACATTTTCAAATTCAAATTTTATTAACATAGCTGTTCTGGTTAAAAAAAAAAAAAAAGCCTAATGTGCCAGAGCCATTTGGAGCAAGAAATACAGGCCCTACAAGGGGATTTCCCATCATTTCTAGCCAATAAATTTGAAATCCACATGAATTTTAAGTACCTGAGAGAGTATCTGACTTTGTGGCCATGTGTTTGTTCTTGGCTTTCTCCAGTTTCATTAGCAACTTGCAAAAATAAACAATGGTGTTTTTTATGTGCTTAAAAAAACCCAAACAGATCCTTAAGCAACACATTTAAATATATCTTCTCTTCATTCCATAAAGGCATCCCTTAAAAATACTTTTATCGCCAATTATAAATTTAAAATGATCACTTTATTATTCACACACCCCACCACCCCTCTCATTTTCAATTGAAAGCTTCTGGAATGGTGACTTTGTCACATCCCTAAAATGACTTAAGTAAAATTAAATGCCAATAAAGATGAAGTAGTTATTAGAGTCTTATTTTACATTTTTACAGGAATTATAAGTAGTCACTCTCCCTTGAGAACAGCTGCTACTGGCTTTTTGCAATCTTGTGTTTTTCTGAATCTGTTTTTAATAGAGCAAAAATACATAATGGTGAATTTATCTTCCTTCTGAAGAGGCCCTCAAAATGAAGACGGTTCTTTGTATACATACCTTCGCACTCCGAAATGAGATGCCCCTCTGGAGTTTCCAGAAGCTTCCATTCCGAGAGGATGAAATGCTAACACTGTGGGTCTGTCAGACCCAGAGCCCAACCAGCTCATCATTTCTCTCTCTAACTTGTCCTTCCCCTTGCCTTTCTCCATGATACCGCCACTGCCTTCTTTTTGTTCCCCCTCTTAGCTTTCTCTCTCAGATGGAAGCCACACAATGCCAGAAGCTTCCCTCTACAGCTGCATGTCTGAGGAGGCAGGTGACTACCAAAGTGAAGAGAGTTGTGGTTGGTTGCTTATCTGCGAGAGAAATCAAGTTTGCCTTGCCCTGACCAAAGCTGGTTTTGGAACTACGAACAGCTGTCTCTGGAGTGAGCCATGGGATTCTTTTCCAGACACTACCATTGGGGGGGAGGGGAGGATGCAAGACTATGTCTCATGAAGTGAGTACACAGGAGAGGAGCATGGGGAAGAATGGAGAAACCGTAGGCAGAGGAAAAAGGTCTAGCGTGGTGAATTGCACATGAAGGCACTCAGTTAAAACCTCTG